TGTGCATGCAAAAAGTTGAGTAAAGACACTGCTAACCGTTTTCTTCGATTCCAAAGGAATAATTCACAAGGAATTTCTGCCAGAAGGTCAAACAGTGAATTCTGATTATTATCTCAGAGTCCTCAATCGTTTGTGGGAGAGAACTCTTTGAATTTGACCTGAACATAGAGAGCAAGGTTCCTGGTCGCTCCTCCACAACAGTACCCCACCCCACAAATCGAAGATCGTGCACAATTTTTGGGCCAGAAGAGGGATCACAGTCCTTGATTATCCTCCATATTTGCCAGATTTGACTCCAGCAGATTTCTGGTTGTTCCCAAAAGTAAGAAAGGAGACGGTCAGAGCGGCCTCCATAGTCTAGGGGTAACGTTCCCACCTCATGACTCAAGGTACACGGGTTCAAACCCGGCGGAGGTCGTTGAATTTTTAAGGGTGGAAAAATTTAAGGAAAAAGTCCTCCGGGAAGGACTTTAAGCCATGTGTCCCGTGTTGTAGATTTACGGCACAGTCTCTAGGAGACCTCTGAGCAAAATTAGGGAAGTTTCCCGCCCAAGTAGTTTCCAATTTCTCTGGTAGATGTGGAAGTACCACTACCAGAGAGGGCCGACCTCGCTGGCAGAACGGGGCTGATAGCGAGCACCAGTAATGGAAGGGCATGGCGACTAGTTAGAATAATTAAAGGGGGACGCACAATAGATCAACAAATGGTCGCAGTGCATGGGGAAACCCACCCCCTCCGAATAATAATAATAATGAGACGGTCATGACACCATCCAGGATATCCAAAGGGAATCTACCGCAGTTTTAAATGCGATTCAACAAAAGGAATAAAGTGACTGTTCTCAAAAACTTTTCAATTGATTCAGAAGGAGACTATTTTGAAAATAAGTCATGTCTTGTATTTTTAATGAACACAGTCCTAACAGAACCTGGACACACAGTTTAGTTCTGTGTAGTATCAGAAGTACATGCTGCCTTCATCCTCAGGGTGACAAGAGTGAAGAAATCAGCATGAAGCAGGCTGGGATCCTTGGCTTGGCTTGGTCTTTGAACCTCAGGTTGGAGATGATGTTCCTCAAAAACGCTGGTTCACTTTCATTGGATACGCAGCATAATACCCTAAAACATGTTTCTTCAAGATGAATTTCTGTATTTCACTAATTTCTGTACTTCTCTTTAGGTAATGATCACAGGAAGTGGTGTTGGTACGACTGCAAGGAATACAAGCTCTAAGCTTCAGGTTTCTGCTTTCAGTAAATAGAACTTTGGCTAGCTATACTAGCCTTTATGGCCTTTAATTTAATGGGTGGTGGACTGATGTTCACATGTACAGACTAGATGTGTCAATGGCTTGTTAAAGCCCTTGCTAATCACAGGCTGAAGGAAAACAATTGTTTAAAGCTGTGGATGTAAAGTACCTTCCTAAGCCTGAACTGGAGATATGACTGAGAATCCTAAGAAAAACTACTGATCGGACTTGGGGCCTATAATCCAGCACTCGAAACTGATAGAGGAAAATCCTTGAGTTGAAAGACAATCCCCAAGGTCAGCAAGTAATTTTACTGGTAGATTGGAATAATTACATTAGAGAAACAAGCTAGAAAACTGACACTGGATTTTTAAACCCATCACTCTGAGCAAGGGTCAGAAAACTACACATCCATCGCTAGAGGGAAGGGGATGTAAGGAACCCAAACCACATTACCAAGGGACCTTTCTGCATAGCACAGTTCAACATGAATGTTACATATACAACAATGCAGAAAACTGGCTAACGGCTGCTTGTGCAAGGAATCTTGGTTTAAGCAGGGGAAACATCCAGACCAGCAATGGGAATCCCCCCTTCTCTTATTCTGTAAGTACTGGGGCTTTTCTTGGAAGAAGGCACGCACTTGACCACTAACCTCCATCTGGTGCAAAGGTTACAAATTAGTTGTGCTATACTTCCACTCCCCATATTAAGCACAGGGATTTCACCTTACCTTAATCATTCAGATGGAATACAGGGTAAGCGCTTTAACTCTCTGAGGACCAACTCTGAATATACTAATTTCCCCTTTTTTTCACACTGAAGCTGCATACACCCATCATACATTCTTTCAACATTAACATCTTTTCAAAGATTGAAAATGTATATGAAACCTATATTCCATATAAGATGGAAAAACAAAAAGTGAAATGCTGATAACAGCGAAACGCTATTTTAAGGTTTCTTGTTGGACCAGTGGACTGAGGAAAATCTTATGGAGGTAATTTGACATTCAGATTATCTTGGGATTATTGAAATTGAAAATTAAGAGAGGGTTCCAATGTATCTGCAGAAAAGATCTGGTCTGAATGGTATGCAGTGCTTCAAACATATCAGAGCACTATCACTTCTGTACCAGACAGTAATTCAAACATGCATGCAAGGAATCATTAATTCATTACCTTTGCTGGAGGTTTATTCCAGAGATCTAACAATGGTTATGATGTCATACATAAAGCAGTGGCAACTGTAACTCCCACACGACTTAGGATAATCCTCTATTTGCAGAAGAGTTGAGGAACACCATAAGCTTCTGCACCAGCAGTAGCATGAAACTCACGGTTGATACCAATGCACAGCTCATTTGGAGGTGGACAAGTGGTAATTTGATGTGAGCAAAACTACTGCAAAAATTATTAGCTAACCCAGAGGTTTCCAAACATTTTCAGACTATGGACCACTTATTGTGTGTAGATTTTCTATGGGAAACCACCTGAATATTAATTTAAATATTTAAAGAACATAGAAAGGAATGAGAATGAAATTTAATCAAATAAAAATAATATAAGTGTTGCCACACAAATCACATGTTTGTGCATAAATAGTACATAATGTCTGTTCATGTGCATTCATAGATGAACATGAGCCCTCTGAAAGAATTTATGTTAAATGGACTAATAAGGGAGGAATGCGCTGCCTCCATCTTCAAGGTTGAAGTCACTTTGTTCCTGAAGTTGAATTGGTGGTCCATGAACCACGAGTTTGGTAAACTCTGATCTAATATATATATTAACACACATAGTGAACCAACTTTTCTGATTTCTAGAAGGGAAGTTATCTTACAACAAGGACAATCTGATTAGGAACGTTGGTGGAAAGCTAGCAGCTAGCGGTCAGCTTTATGCCCCAGCCACTTTAACCTCAGGGAAAAAGCCCCTGGTACCCATTTGGTATGGGCAAGTATTGTGTTTTTGGACATCCATTATCCTGTCTTTATCTAAAACACTGTCCTGTTTATTTTTCAAAACACATTTCAGAGACCCAATTCTGTCTGTCTTCAGGTAAAACCTACTCAGTTGGGCCCAATCTATAGAGCTAATCCCTATCTCCAGACCAGGTTTGGGATAGGTTTCACCTGAAGACGGAGACAGAACCCAGTGTTTTGAACGATAAACAGGATGACGGATAATGTCCAAAAACATAATATTTGTACTGATGTACCATCTTCACAAACTTTTAGATCTTACTGGACAGGAGGTTGGGTGGGTCCCAGAGCCAGTCTGGACAGTGTGGAGTAGGGAAAAATCTTGCCCTTGCTTGGAATCAAACCCTGGTCATCCAACCTGTAGACTGTCACTATCCCAGCTCCTAGCATGAAAGTGAAGGCTTTCTATGCTAACATTTAAACACTTTCTGTCAATCACAGCTGGTAGTTGGACATTTTCTTCTGTCTCACAGAGATGTCTACTTATCAAGTTCAAGAACCATAGTACAGTGTTTTGAAGTGTTATGTTTGTCACCATGACACATAACTGAATCAAACAAAAACTAAAACAATGACACACAATTCAAGTTTACATCAGTAAAGTTTCATGTGTACATCTCTTAAATACATTCATGCATTTCTGTTGTGCTCTGGCTTAAATAGGTACCACAGTCCTTTATTCTAATGTGTCCGCACTGTCTACACGCCCAAAGGCTCTAGGCAGCATAATTTTCATGTATTCCCAAAGAGTTAAACTCAAGAGACCTATGACATACAGTTACCTCTGCCCATCCAATAATCTTTCATTTACAGTGCCCTGAACAAAGTTCTTCTTCTTCTTTCAGTTATGTAAAAATAATTTTTCAAATAAGGTATATGGCTCACCATGGTGGCCTTGGAAACTATACCAGTATTTGGATCAAGGCACACACACCTTTGTATAAACACTGCAGATGCAACTTCAAGTGTGTCATTTTCATTTATTGCTGTGCAGTATGGTTACAAAAATGTAACATTCTGAAGCACTAAATGTATTTTGTAAATTAGAAGGGTATATCAACTTGACACACCTCCAACAAAAATGTTTTCTTGCTCTGTTTACCGTTTAGTCGTGGCCACTCTGGTCACACACTCATATTTATGCCAAGAAGTGAATGTACTGGAATGATCAGGCCAATTTATGTCATAAAATCATGCAGGATCAAACAGCATCTGTACAGCTATACAAAAATTTATCACCAAGTCAGTCCTTCTCCTTTGGTATTCCTGTTTTCAACCATTCCCCATTCTTATACCAAACTACTGATTACTCCATGCAAATGTATTAAAATTCTTAACTGTTTTCTCCTCCATCTTTGAACTTTTAGAGAGTTGTCTTACATGACAACATTGCCAACAATACAATGTAATGTTTCAATTTGTGGATAGAAAAATGTTCGGTATCAGGATCTAACAGGGCAACTGAAGAGTACAGTCTTCTGGGATGCAATGCTATGCAGTTTGGTAGGCATTAAACATTTTAGAGGGCTACAATGCCTCAAACTTAACATTCAAATAGCTAACAGCTGCTTCCTTGATCAGCGTAGTCTTCTGACTATTCAAACGAGGGCAGTCCATTCCTCCAGAACTTAAATGAACTTCTACCACAATACATAGCATCACGTAACAGAAGGAAACTCTTCCGTGTTGTCGTAATTTGCATTAATTTCTGCATCTAGCTCCAGTTAACTTCCACACCTTCCAAACTTGAAATGATTACTAAAGCCATCATGAACTTAAATTGTTTTAATACAAAATGTCACATTACAAACAATTCCTATCCTCAGATCTACCTATTAAAGAAGTGTACATTATGAAGGTTAAACATGTTTTATTTAAAACAGAATAGTACTAACTGAAAAAAAAAACATGCTGAATCTTTTGGCAGAGAGAACCAAATATTTTTTTCAGTGATGCGAGCCTGCCACTGAATGCAAGCTGCCTACAGTTGCAAGCTTATATAAGTACCACTTAAATCTAACGTCCACTGGTTTTTGAAATGAGAACTCCTTTCTTTGAAACTCACAAAACTTTCTTAACTAAATATAAGTGTCTATTTGGTAAATTACAGTTATGATATCCTCTTCCCCCCCCAGGTGTACCAGATGATTAAAACACAGAACAGAAATTAACATAAAAAAAATCACATATTTTCCACAAAGACTGCATAGTGTGAAACTAAGGACAAAGAATCTGAAGCATGTCTGAGGCTGATATTTCCGTAATTTTTCAACAAAAACAAGTTATATTTCCAAGTATTGGGGTATTGTAACTTGCATTTTCTTCTATATTAACTTCCAAGAAAATGTGTGATTTTGTGTCGCAGAGAATACTTGACAATCCATATACCATACTTCCATGATGAGAAAAAAAATGTACACAGTTAAATGACAAGGAATGTGAACAGCGACGCTTGACTGGCACTGGTTCAAACTTGGGGGGGGGGCAAGTCCACAGTGTCTAGCATAGTCTCTCTGATGTTTTAAACCTGCCAAATATAAAATCGGCCCCATTGTGTTTCAGGCCCAAATACATTTCCACTTTCATTTTATGCAACATCATTCAAAAGCCTCCTGTCTGCTCTTGGTACACCTCAATTACATCATCATTCTCCATCTCCAGCTGTTTAGGTGTTTCATCATCATTTATTCGTCGCCCATCAAATAAAAACCTAAGTGACGTGACAGGAACGCCCTGCAAGCAAGATTAACGATTAGATAAAGAATGAATGTATGCTTATTTCAACAGATCCTTTAAACATATGTAACAATCTGTTAGAAACTACACCTATGTTAATTCGACATTCTGAACAATGTCAATATTGAATTCTTTTAAAATGTTCTGAAACTGAATCCTAATCATATGCAAGAAAGGAAGGTTTCCTCCAATAGGCCCGTTACTAGGAACTATTCTCAATCAATGACATCACAATATGTTCCAAGCAGGGAATATACATTCCAACAAATCAGAAGTGAACAGCAGGAGATAAGTAAAGACCCTACAAAACATGGCTGGACATTGCCACCCTTACAAATTGTCATAGTATGCACTGTAATATGGATACTGCATACATATAATCTTAAACCAGTCGATTTCCAGACACAGCTCATACAAGTGCTATAATGGAAAACAGAGCAGTAATAAGACAGTACTGTCTTCTGGGATGTGACATATTGTAAAGTGGACCAGTATTTCATTAAGGTACATACTATCTCTTGCAAGCTCAAAGAGCAAGTCAGGTAAGAAGGCAGAGTTCTCCAAAACACAGTAACCTTCCTTTACACATATATAAATATTGCAAACTCTACCTCACCTTTTTAAAAGAAACGTTACAACTGCGTAAAATTTCCACTTGGATAGTACATATTTGAACACTAAACTTCCCTTTCATTAGCAACTAAAAACATTCCAATTGCTGAACCATCTTAGTTATACAAGCAAAGAATGATAAACTCTTCTGCCTGGTTGGGAGTCTGGGTGAACTACACAACTAGTGTAGCCACTAAGGCAAAAATAAAAATAGTGCAAACATGAACAGTAATCAGCATTCTAAAACTCTCTTGCTGTCATACACCAAACCCTTGATATAACCACTAATATTAAACATCCCTAACACTGCCCAACTAATGACTATAAGTCCTCTCGGTTGATGTGTCCATAACAAGTATTATTTGCAATGATAGCAAGATTTCATTCTGACATTCCTTCGGGGTTGTTCAATTCCGAAGAATATACGTCAGTTCTTCAATATAATACTTCCCTTGTTCCCTTAACGTTAGCTATATCAGATCACTATTCTATAACCATACATATTAAAACAAAGAACATTTCCTTAACAGTTGTTTCGATTGCAACAGGGTTTCTGTAACTCACCACACGTTCACTGTATGACTTTTTCAGTTTCCCCATCTGGGTGGTCATCTTAACTCTGAAGTGGATTTCGTTTGAATCCTAAAAAATCGAATTCGTACAATACTTAACGCATACACAAAACGTTCAAAAACAATTCCTTAGACACATAAATAAAAAATTTCATTCTGGCCAACACACTTAAATACTATTTAATGTTATGTAACCAATTTACTTACATTTCCAACTACCTTCAACTTGATGTATTCTGAATTTGTGTCCCCTGGACCGGCGTCAGGCTTCTGTTCCTGGAAAGTATGTTCTAATTATGCACCCATTCTCAAAATCGTGTACACTTTTTCATATTTGCAATAAAGCCAATCATGAACATATTTACAAGCCATACAAAACAGTTATGAACATTTTTACCTGATTATCAGACATTTTTCACACCACACGCCACAAGCTGCACAACTACCCAATATGGCGCCAAGCTTTGTCAAAATCACAGCCTTCCAAAGTGGACATTCCTATGAACTCGACAACGTAATTTCGGAGTACATTTAGAAACGTCATATATAATTCGGGGTTACAAACTGAACAAAGTAATTGGTAGATTTAAATGTTAAAATTTGTAAGTATTGAAACTATAAAATTTTAAGGCCGAAGACCTCAGCCATGAATTCAAAAGCCTTATAGAACGAAACAAATGCTTGTCTAAATTTCTTATTGACATGAAATTAATAAATATTAGTCATTTCTATTTAAATGGAAGCTCATTTACGTTCACAAAATGCCGGAGTCTCTCATGTTTCATATGGATCACTCCTACGGTACAGAGCCTTCTAAATAAATCAACATTTTTTGTTCTCACGGCGTGGGCTATGAAGTTACTGTTTGCATGTACACGTAGTGCCATGCATCCGGATAGAACGTTGGCACTGTTTCAGAGTATCCTGTTGCCTCCATCTTCAGGGTGTAATGTAGAGGAACCAAACTCGAATTGGCTTACTCTTAGGCCGCAAAAATGAAGAAAGTAACTTCCTCGAAACATAAGAAAACACTGCTAAGATGGGACCGAACTTGTGCCGCCTGTCTTTCTTGGGAAGGTAGTTCTTGTTGTCGTCCTATGTTTGTTCATAGCGTGCTGTGTTGTTTGTACACACTCATATATTTCTTCAGAATGGAGGAAGATTGAACATGGAGTGCCCAAGGGATCTATACTTGGACCAATGCTTTTTCTTTTGTACATAAATGACCTACTTAAAGTAGTCAATTATAACTCTAAACCAGTCATGTTTGCTGATGATACCAGCATTATTGTTAGTAATCCTAATTTAGTAAATTTAAAAAAAGATGAAGAAAGCAGTCTTCTGGGATTTGGCACCGTGTAACAAATTATCCTTTTTCCTCCGGTCGGTTAAAGACAGCCTGGCCCTAAGGACACCGGGTGTATACAGTATCCCATGCGAGTGCGGGAAGGTCTATATTGGGCAGACAGGCCGCTCCGTGGACATGAGGTTGAAGTAGCATCAGCGGCACATCCGTCTCGAACAACCGGACAAGTCGGCCGTAGCTGAACACAGCATCGATCTGGGACACGGCATTCAGTTTCAGAATACCTCCATCCTCGCCACCAAGACCCGCTATATGGATCGCATCATTAGGGAGGCAATTGAGATTGAACTGCATCCAGAAAATATGAACAGAGAGGGGGGGGTTTTGTCTCAGCAAGTCTTGGAAGCCTCTCATCTGTTCTCTTAAAAACCCCACCGGGATATGAGGCCAGATCCAGAAGGCCACACAGGCCCTGACCAACCA